TTAGCTTTATAGCTAAGTATTTCATTCTTGGGGGTGCTAATGTGTTACTGTGTTTTTAATTTCACATTTACCTTGCTCATTATTGGTATATAGGAAAGCATTTAATTGTTTTGTATTAACCTTGTATCCTGCAGCCTTACTGTAATTGCTTACTAGTTCCAGTAGGGTTTTTTTGAGTGATTCTTTCGGATTTTCTACCTAGACGATCATAGTATTCCAGTCTTTCTTTGTCTTTCTTTACCTTGACGTGTTTAAAGTATACTGGACAGTTATTTTGTAGTTTGGTTTTGTCTGATGTTTCCTCATGATTAGATTTAGGTTATGAGTTTTTATAAGGAATGCCTTGGTAGTGATCTTTTGTCCTATTACTGGTGAAATTAACTTTGATCATTTAGTGTTTGCCAGATTTCTCCACTGAAAGGTACTATTTTCCCCTTTGTAATTAATAAATATTTTGTGGGGAATTACTTTGAAGCAATATAAATGACATATTTCTCTTCAGATTTCATCCATTAATTTTAGCTTCTTTCCATTTATTTATTAGTTTCAGCATTCCTTGATGATGCATCCCTGAATCATTTTTTATTATAATGGTTTTGTTTTGTGAATTCATAATTTTCAAATGTTAACTCTTACTTTTAGAATAAACCCTACTTGATTGTAATATATTATTCTTTGTCTATCACTGGATTTGATTTACTGATATCTTATTTAGGGTTTTATATCTGTCTTCATGAGAGAGTGCTTGGTAATTTCCTTCCTTAAATGTCGTTACCAGGTTTAGAATCAGGTATTCTGACTTCATAAAGTGAGCTGCAAAGTGTTCCTTTTTTTTTATTTTCTGGGAAAGTTTAGGTAAATTTGTTGCTATATTTTACAAGTTTGAAAGAAATTATGGGAGAAGCCTTCTGGGTCTGAGTTTCTCTTTACAGAAAGATTTATAATAATTCAGTTTCTTTTATTGACAGCAGTATTCAAAAAATTTTTTTCTTGTGTCAATTTGGTAATGTCTGTGCCCTCATAGGTGTTTAAGTTTGCTTTCTCTAGTCAACTAAGTCAGTTCCTACCCATCCATCAAATTTTCACCTTTCATCAGTTTAGTTACATCTCTCATCTGCTATTATCTTCTTTCTGGGTTCTTTCTGTTCTTATGGGTTTCTGCTTTTTACCCCTCTTTCCATTACTGTCATTTTACTGGAGGGGTATGGAGAAAAATGCATATATTTAATTTACGATGCTTAACTGGGATCTCTCTTTAACCTTTGTATTTCCTTTCAGTTTTGTTTAAGTACAGTATAGTGGACATAATTTTCCATTCTGATTCTTATGAGTGTCAACCATAACAGGATATTGAAGTGTGTTGATACTCTCAAGGACTTTTGAGGGTTCAGAGTTTTTGTCCTTAGTGCAAGTTGCCCTAAAATTTATGTTTTTAGAATTTGCTTGCTTTTTGTAATTTATTTTTTCTCATTGGCAGTTATCACTTTCATGAGGTTATTTTTCTTTCATCTATTAATTTATAGCTTCTAATCTGTCAGTTAGGAAATCCTGTGATTACACTTGTTAGAACTGTGTGTACGGAACCCTTCTTCTTTAGAGCGTACACAATATAAAATCTCTTGACTTTTCACTGCTTAGTGGCCTTTTTTGTTAACTTGCCTGACTCTCAGTAATGGATAGAGTCTTTATAGACTAGTAATCATCATAGTTTATTACCTTTTCTGTGTTGGTAGCATAACTTAAGCTTAACCCTTTCTTTTTTTAAAACACAGGTTCATTTTACATTTGATTTTTGAAAATTGGGGTGGGGGATAATTTTAGATTTATAGAGAAGTTTCAAAGATGTTAGAGTTTCTGTATACCGTTTACCCATCTTCCCCTAAAGTTCCCAACTTAGATAATTGTAGTATGTTTGTCAAAAACTAGGAGATTAACATGGGCATAACACTATAGCCTAAACTACAGACTTGACTTGGATTTCACTAGTCATTTCATTAATGTCCTTTTTCTTTTGCACAGTCCAGGACACCACATTGCATTTGGTTGTCATATCTCCTTAGTCCCCTCTGATCATGACAGTTTCTTTATCTTTATCTTCCCTTTTTTTTCATAACCTTGACAGTTTTAAAGAGTTCTGGTCAGGAATTTTGTAAAATGTTCCTCAATTTGGGTTTATCTGATGTGTTCTTGTGACTAAACTGGCATTGTGGGCTTTTGGGAAGAAGCCACAGAGCTGAAGTCGCATTTTCATCACATCATGTTAAGTATGCTATGAATAAGACATCACTTCTGATGTTAACTTTGATGATCACTTAGCTGAGATAGTGATTGGTAGGTTTCTCACTGTCAGTTTACTTTTTTCCTTTTTCTATAGTTGACTCTTTGGAAGTGAGTTACAAAGTTCAGCATATACTGAAGGGAAAGGGAATTCAGTTCCATCTGTTAGAGGAGAGAGTTTGTACATGTATCATTTGGAATTCTGTAAGGAAGATGTGTCCCTTCTCCCCATTTATTTATTTATCCAATTATTTATATCCATGTGGATTCATGAATATTTATTTTATTAAGGAGAATTATAATTCATATCATCATTATTTTAAAAAAACGCCTTCTTCCTTTCTGGCTGTACATAATACTCCAGGCTTATCTTGTATTTTTCCTGCGTCATCTCTAGAATCAGTCATTTTTCCTGGGAGCTCTGGCTCCTTGTATTGGAGAATGGTATTTAGAAAATAAGATCTGGTTGTAGGTGTGCTTGTTGCTACTGGGGTATCACTGCTTCTACACCTTCTGAGGACAGACCCTTAGCTCTATATACTAACCCATGGAACAGCATATCTATATTCGTGTCCGTATCTATTAATCTGTATGTGTATCAAATAAAAGTTGGTACTGATATCTCTTCCTCTAATCTAGCACCACTAGAACGAAGAGTTCATTCTAGCTTTCCTCTCTTTTTTTCATAACTTCTTTTTCTGAAAGGGAGACACCTTGCTCCTATTATCTACTATTTATTTACTTATATTTACATTATACATGTAAAGAAGTTTCAGATTTATTCATGATGACTTGTTTCCTCCTGTTTCATGATATTTTGGGTTGTGAACTTATTTTTTTTGGAAACTTTTTTTGAGGCATTGAAATTTTATTTTTTTTAGAGAAGATTTATATTTGATTCTGCTAGTCATTTAGAGGTTTTGGTGATTGTTTTTTTGCCTTTACAAACAGTTTCTTACTGTGGAAAAATACACGTAACATAAAATTTATTGTTTTAACTGTTTATAAATGTACAAGCGTAGATTGGCATTAAATACATCCATAATGATGTGCAGCCATCACCACTATCCCATTTCCAGAACTTTTTCATCATCCCAGACAAAAGCTCTGTACCCATTAAAAAGTAACTCTACATTCTCCTCTCCCTCCAGTCCCTGGTGACCTCTATTCTACTTGCTCTCTGCATTTGCCTATTCTAGTTACCTCATATAAGTGGAATCATACAGTATTTGTCCTTCTGTGCCACTATTGCACTCACTGTAATGTTTTCAAAGTTCATCCATATTGTAGCATGTGTCAGAGTTTCATTTCTTTATGGCTGAATAACACTCCTCTGTATGTGTGTGAACACAGCACATTTTGTTTATCCATTCATCTGTTGATGGATATTTGGGTTGTTTCACCTTCTGGCTCTTGTGAATAATGCTGCTGTGAACATTGGTGTACAAGTGTCAGAGTCCATGCTCTCAGTTATTTTGGGGTATATATCTAGAACTAGGATCACTGGGTCATAGGGTAATTCTGTGTTTAACTTTTTGAGGAGCTGCCAAACATTTCCCACAGTGGCTGCACCATTTTATATTCCCACAAGCAATGCGTAAGAGTTCCGATTTCTCCTCATCCTCACACTTATTATTTTCCATTAAAAAAAAAAACAGCCATCCTAATGGGTGTGAAATAGTATCTCATTATAGTTTTGCTTTGCATTTCCTTAACATCTGGTGATATTGGGCATCATTTCCGTGAGACTATTTTAATTATGGGCTTTTCTGGGCCACATAGGTTATGAAGATTCTGGTACCAAACCTGAGTAATTGTGAGCTGATGTTTAGGAATTCCCTAAACATAGGGTGGAGAGATACACTTTGTCATTATTAGTTCACCCCCAAACCCAGAGCCAATGGCAAGATGTCATAATTATCCCTACTGTCTCTTTCTTCAGTGAGATTCTTTTTTCTCCCCCCCTGCCCCCCCAACCCAGTTCACCCAATTGGATTGTCACCCTTCAGGTCTTCTGGTCTATGATCTGACCTTTCATTTTACTGAGGCTCCAAACCTGGTCTTCCCAGCCGCTAGGCCTCAGGTTTTTGTCATATGGTTCAAAAACAAATGCCAGCTTCAGAATTTCATTTATTTCTCAGGTTCCCACTTTATAGCTGTTTATGGCTTCGGGGTATTTCAGGCATGCACTTAAAATTTTTCTTAAACTCATAGTGAGCGTGTTTGGTGTTCTGATCTGGAGAGTTATTTCTAACATTGAGTTCACCCTGATGCTAACACAGAAAACCTTGGTTTGTCTCTTTTCTGCTAAAAGGCAGAGATGATCGGCTGAGGTAAAGAAAAGGCTGGTGGTCTGGATTTATTAGTTCTCATAAATAAGGCAAGCAAATTAACAGGTACTAGTTTCTAGAACCAGTGATCAAATATGGTGGAGATGCAGGGTTGATTTTTATGTATTTCATATTCATGTATCCCCATCCACATTTTTTATTATATTTTACTGATCTGAGCTTTTTTTCTGTAGCAAACTCACATATATGGATGAGTGTAAATTAGCCAAAACAGATTTTAATGTGTTGTTTTTCTCTTTAGAGGAAATAATCAAAAGGCAAGAAAATTAAAAGAAAATCCTGACTAAGCAAAGAGTTTGGGAAATGCTCAATTTTATTTTGTATTGAATGGCTCTATTAATGAATACTTATCTGAGTTTGTTTTTATTTCAGCGTTGGCTAGATCAGAATCTAAAAGAGATGGAGGTTTTAAAAGAAATTGGAGCTTTGATCATGGAGAAGAAAGTGAAGGAGATACAGATAAAGAGTAAGAATATTTTTTTCCCCCTTAGATGTTTTATAAGAATGAAACTTTTCATTAGAAAAACAGTTTTATTCCATGGAAATATTTTTATTCCAGGGAAGCCCAGTATCCCACCTTTTAAGCATTTTTGTAAAATGTTTGCAGGAGAGAATTTTTAGCATTAAAAAAGTTGGGATGTATACAAACAACAATGAAACAAACATTTTACATTTTTGTTATAAATAGCTAAGATTTTACTCAAAATAGCTTAGCAGAATTGTCTTCAGAAGGGTGTATTTTGACTTTGTTAGAAGATTTGTCATGATTATATTAAAAAAAATGTGTCTCTTAAGGTGCTACCTGTCCTGTATGTTTCACTTATGAATTGTACTCTTTGGTTTATCACTATGTTCAGATTAACATGAACTGTTAATAGATATATCGGTTTTTTAGAATCAGGTCAATGATTCTCAGTAAAGGGTTGATATTTCCCACAATGGTAGGGGTATAACTATTTTATTGGGTTAATACCATTGCAGTTACTTTCTTTTCATTAACTAAAGTTTTCTTACCGGTATGTTTCTTTCCCTCTACTTTTTCAGCCCCTTTCCCCTAATTTAAAATCCAAGACAGAAAGGAAAAGTGAGTGACTATTTATGAAATCCATAGTTAAGAAAAGCAAAATTATGTGTTCATTAATGGCAGAGGTCAGGAAACAGTGGCGCATGGGCCCAGGCTGGCCCAACGCTGGATTTTTGTTATAGTTTTGTTGGAACACAGCCACACAGATAGTCTGTGGCTACTCTCATACTACAGTGGCAAAGCAAAGAGGAGTAGTTGCTACCAAGACTGTATGGCCTGCAAAGTCTAAAATATTTACTCTGTGGCCCTTTACAGAAAAAGTTTGCTAATCTCTGTATTAGGTGAGCACAGAGGCTAAAACTTCTGAATTTAATGTATGGGTTGTAATTGTCACTTAAGGCTTTTTCCCCTTTATTTTCTGTGTAGTGAGGCAAATCTGCTCAGTGTAGATGAAGATGAGGATTCTGAAACCTCAAAAGGAAAAAAGGCAAGTGTTACTTTTTATTTTTATTTATTTATTTTTTTAGGTTATATACTAAAAACTAAAGCTTCAAAAGAAGATTTTTATTTTTGATTGTAAGTCCCAACCACCCACTTTCCTACCTCAAAGGCAAATGGTATTCCCAGTTTCTCGTTTATCCCATCAGAATTATTTTATTTATCACAAAGAAAATATATATTCTCGCCCCACCTTCTTCTTTTTTTTTTTTGCGGTACGCGGGCCTCTCACTGTTGTTGCCTCTCCCGTTGCGGAGCACAGGCTCCGGACGCCTAGCCGCTCTGCGGCATGTGAAATCTTCCCGGACTGGGGCACGAACCCATGTCCCCAGCATCGGCAGGCGGACTCTCAACCACTACGCCACCAGGGAAGCCCAAGTAGTGCTTTAATAAAGCCTTGTGCGTATACCTTTTCACATCTTTACAGTGTATTTGTAGGATAGATTTCTAAAATTGCGCTATTTCAGGAGGTAGATTTACATGTGATTTTGCTAAATATTGCCAAATGCCTCATTCATAGGAATTAGCATTAGCCATAACTGCTAGCAATGTATGAGAGTTTCTCTTATAACTTTGGGGAGTATGTGGTCAAACTTGAATTTTTGCCAATCTGACATAGTACCATCTTCACATATTTCCTGTACTTACAGTTGAATAGTATTTTAGAGACTTTTAAAGTTAGTTTTTTCTCCCTGTCTCTGTGGGTTTTTTTTTTCCCCACATCTCTATTTTGACATAATTTCAGGAGTTTGTAGAATTTAAAGTTTTTCTCTTAGTACTATAAAGTTTTTCTCTATAAGGCTACTCACACTGAAAAACTATAAGGTTTTTTACATTGCAGTTTTCTCTAGCTTTTATTTTAACATTTTGATTCCTTAGAGTGGAGCTATTTAGGTGTTCAGGTGGACACAAATATAGTGAGCTTTGTAGGTAAAAGTAAAAGGTGTTTTTCATCATGATCTTCTGTGACATTGGTCTTTAACTCGAGGGGGGGTTGCTTGCAGATGCCCTTTTATTTTTTAATGTTGATACTTTTAAAGTAAAATAAAACTTATATGACACTTATGTATCCTGTGATCTCTAAAGATAATTCAGAATTGATACTCAGCATCATCTGTCTTAACAGTACATGTACAACAACATTGTATAATATACAATGTTTTTTATATTTCCATAAAAAAACTTAAAGAAATACATGTACCATTTCCTCTTTAACAGTTGGAAATTTATATTGTTCCTTTTTCTCTTTAAATTCATATTTCTGTTAGTTTTCCCACAAAATTTTAACATTATATGTGTATTTTAACTTTACATGATGTATTTTTATGCAATTTGAAAATCTTTTAATTACTCTGTCATACTGTATAGATATATATTCACTGAATAAAAAGATATACATTCACTGAAATTTAATATTAAATGATCTTTTCACTAAAAGTTGCAAGTATTAATTTTTTGCTGGATTGAGTTATCTTTATAATTACTAATAAACATGTAATTTATAATTATTAAACCTATTGTATAGAATTATATTGGAAATGTATTTCTTAAAGTGATGGTGTTGATGTTTTCCTTCCTTATTCATTTAGTTCATGTATCCATAAATAAATGTTATTTATTGGTCTAATAAAACTTTCAACAGTGATTTTCTTTTTAAACTTTTTTTAGATATAAGTGCTGAGAAATCTTGGTCATATAATAAATAGATGGATATAGAAAGAGTTTTGCTATAGCATTATCATTCAGTTCTTTCCTTTTGAATTAAATGGCAGGAAAATCACCTAGCAATGTAATAAAAGTTTAAAAGTTAAAAATAATTTGTAATCCAGCCTCTGGATTTATTGTCTTTCTGAATTTGGGGGAAATATACTAAAAAGGCTTTATCAAGACTTAATGATTGGCTAGTAGTTACACTTGTTACTTTTAAATTCCTTTTAGATTCCTATTTTTTAACCAGATAATCTCAGAAATAATTGGAAAAATTGAAATCTTGTTAATTTTTAATTGGCTTTTGCCAGTTTTTTCTGTAAAAATAGTTTTGTAAAATATTGTGTTTTTTTGTATATTTTCTTTAAAAGAACTGCATATTTAACTCCTTTGATCTATGGAAAATGTCTATATATAACTTACTTGACAAGGCCAATCCATAGTACAGCCAATTAAATCAAATGTATTATTTATCTATAATAAATAGTGTTTTTTTTCTGTTTTCATTTCATATATACATGTTAATCTGCATCTTCATGATGACATTTCACTTTAGAATTCTAGACAGAAAAATGTACCCTTGGTTTTTTTGGGTTTTTTTGCGGTACGCGGGCCTCTCACTGTTGTGGCCTCTCCCGTTGCGGAGCACAGGCTCTGGACGCACAGGCTCAGCGGCCATGGCTCACGGGCCCAGCCGCTCCGCGGCATGTGGGATCTTCCTGGACCAGGGCTCGAACCCGTGTCCCCTGCATCGGCAGGCGGACTCCCAACCACTGCGCCACCAGGGAAGCCCTGCAGCCTTGGTTTTGACCTAAGTTTTTTTACCTGGTTGTAATAAAGGCATGCAAATTTAAGGGTTTGTTGGTTTTGTTTTTGTTTTTTTCATGCTTTCTTTAAGTTGTTTTCACATGATTTGTTCCTTGGGGCAGTGCTTTTCTTGATAATAACTGGAGTAGAAGATACAAAGTCATTGCATGCAAATTTTCATTACTTTTGCTTTTCCATTTTGCATTATTGTTGTATTAAGAAAATCTTAATTTGGTCCAGAACACCCAGTTTCTAACCTGTGGTTCACTTTTAACAGAAATATATATAAAACAGGGAAAGATACGAAGCCCTACTACTATTTCATGTGCCAAGAGAGATTCCAGATACTATTATGTCAAATTGTTCCTTTCAGGAGTATTTTAGACTCTAGTACAATAAATGAGAATTATGTCTTTTGTTAAGTGGAAAAAGGTTTGGAGTGAAAGTAGAGATAGGAAAGGAGATATTATATGTACCTTTTCTACAGATGGGTTTTAAAGTAAATCAATTTAAGAAAGTGTTAAAGTGGAGATTGAGGATTTAGGAGTTGATTTTCTTAAAATTATCCATGCCCATTTGTCCTTTAGAAAGTCTTTGTGTATCCCAGGGTTTTAAATATCCCTGGATTTTTAATGGCTTGTGAGTAATATTTAGGTCCATATGGAACATTTAAACTAATATAGTACCTTTTTTGCATTCAAAAATGAGCATGGAATTAGGAGAAAGCCTTTATTTTGGTTCAGAGTGTCTTAGTGTTCCCTTTCTCTTCCACAGAATAATCTCTTTGCCTTTGGATTTCTGCAGTTTCATTATGCCTCTTTATATAAAGGATGTGTATCTTTTATTAATTCTGAAAAAATTTTCGTTATTGTCTCTGAATATTGCCTTTCCTCATTTTTTCTGGAACTTTTATTAGATATAATAAGGTCATCATTTTTTTTCCATGCCCTACATATATTTTATATGAAAAAGAAAAAAAAGGATAAAGGGCAAAGAAAGAAATCATCCCTGTACCATATCCTACATGATTTCCTCAGCTTTGTCTTCTAGTTCACTAACTTATCTTCAGCTATATCTAATATGCAATTTAATCTATCCATTCTTTTTTTTTTAATTTCAGTGACATCATTTGTAGAACTTCTGTTGGTTCTCTTTCAAAATTTTGTTATTCATAGTGTCTAGTTCTTTCTGTACTGTTTCAGTTTACATTGTTTTTAAGAATTTCAGTGCCTTTAATATATGTTTTTAATGTCTAATCATTTAATAGATTCTTTTAGGTTATCTTATTTTCTTATCTTATTTTAGGTGCTAAATTTCCTGACTACTTTTTTGTTTTAGTTATATTGGCTTCGTGATGTGTGATAAGTTTGGGTGGAAGGTACCACATGTTGATAACTTTTGCACATTTAGCAGTCCCAATGAGATACACATTCATACAGCAAATATGTATTGAGCACAGTGTTCTAGATGATAGAGAGCAAAACAGACAAGTTTCTTATTCCTATGGAGCTTATATTTTCGTAACTGGCTGTTTATTAGTTATTTATTAGTTATTAATGATTAATGTTAAAACATAAGGGTTGGCAAACCAATGCTCACAGGCCAAATCTGGCCCACAACCTATGGTCTATGAACTAGAATAGTTTTTACATTTTTTAAATGGTTGAAAAAAAATCAAAAGAATACTGTTTTGTGACATGTGAAGATTATATGAAGTTCAAATCTGTATCCATAAATATTTATCGGAAAACAACTGTGCTTATTTGTCCATGTATTGTCTGTGACTGCTTTTGTACTATAAGAACAGATTTGTTTCAGCAGAGACTGTGACCCACAAAGACTAAAATATTTGCTCTCTGGCCCTTTACCGAGAAAGTTTGCTGACCCCTGTATCATTGTTTATACTGTGTAAATATTTTCTGTACAGATTGATACCCAATTGAGGGCAACATAGCTTTTTTGGATGGCTGGTATATTAGAGTAGTTAGGCAGAATATCAGATTTTAGGTCTGCTTGCAACTATCTACTCTATAGGATGGTTGTGAGAATTATGAGAACATGTAATCCGCCTAGTACTTGGCACTAGCAAATCTTCCATAAATAGCATGTTATTGAACCTTTGTAAGCTGGTTTTCCTTTTCAAATAACGATGTGTTTATAGTTGCTTTTCTGACATCAGTTATGGCCCATGTTTATAGTTTTATAATCATGTGATTGTTTTGTGCTAATCCATTTGTCCATGGGAGTTCTCCTGATGGTGTGCTTGCATTAGCTAGAAAACTCTGTTAGGCTGCTAAATAAGGGGTTGGAGGGGAAGGAAAATTAAAGTTTTTCAGGGGCCTTTAGACTGAATATATCATCTTCTCTTTAGTGGTAGTAGTGCTCTAATCTGTGATTTAGCCATAAAGGGTTCAATTTTTACTTGTTTACACCTTATTTCTCCCAATAATTTGATGTAGATTACCAAGAGCACAAATAAAATGAGAGAAAATAAAAATTATTAATTACGTAAAGAGATGTAGATGTGTCACGCGTCTAATATAATTTATATGTTGTATTTTAATTCAACAGGTATCTCTAAATTTTCTTGCACCTGGAATTATGTCCTATAGGTTTATGACTGTGTGAGTGGAGAATCTTTTACAAATGTACATCCTGTGATTCTCCTGTGGAGTGATATCCTCCCCCACCACCCCAGCTACTTTCTAAGTATAACAAATAGTAAGGAACCTTTCCTAAGGGAATTTGACAATAAAGGAAAAGGTTTTCATGAGATATCTGCAAAACCAGAAGTACTGGTTGTCTTATTGCTGACTGAAGTGCATGTAGCTTTTGATAGTACCTTAGGGCAGCAGAATTGGGAAATTTAAGAATTTGCCTTATGCAAATCTTGCTCTAATGATGGACTTTGGGTTGTCTATTGCTATGCCTAAATGCTTTCTTAAAAAGAAAATTTGGAAATGTTTAAGCACTTGATCAGAAATATGTTGAATTAGCTGAATTATATGCCTATATATTGGGTGAGATAATTTTGGCTTAACCAGTTCTTAAGAGGATTAGCTTTCTACATTTATGTAAAGGAATTTTTAGTGCAGTTCCTTTGATTTTGAGATTTTTTGTATCCTAATGATTTTGAGTGTTATCTGGAATAACATAGTTCAGTTTTGCCTCTTGTTAAGAATTTATATGTCTACAAATAATACTATAAAAATTCCTTATACAGTGTAGTATGGGAAAGCATAGGCTTTGGAGTCAGGTCAGTACTTTGTTCAAATCCTTTTAACTAGTTCAAACATAGTGCTTTGATTTTTAAGCTCAAGGATCTAATAGCATAGGGGTAGAGTTTCAGTAAAGTTTAAGGTGGTATATGGTGGAGAGATTTTGTTGGAGAAAGAGACTTAAAGTGGGAAATTTGAGCATGTTAATCCTATCACTCAGTAGCATGAAGTAATTGACCTGATACTTTAGGTGCAGTTTCTGAATCCCAATCTGAAGAACTACTGAAATGTATAAAATATGGAGATTAAATGAGATATTGAATATAAAGTAATTAGCATAATGCCTATCCATAGTAAGCACTCAAATATTAGTTGTAATTATCTATATACGGAGGAATGAAATTATATGGTTAGTCTTTAATGGAAACTTTTGCTTCCCAGATTCTTTTTTTTTTTTAATTAATTAATTTATTTATTTTTGGCTGCGTTGGTTCTTTGTTGTGGTGCGTGGGCTTCTCATTGTGGTGGCTTCTCTTGTTGCAGAGCATGGGCTCTAGGCGGGCGGGCTTCAGTAGTTGTGGCGCACAGGCTTAGTTGCTCCGTGGCATGTGGGATCTTCCCGGACCAGGGCTCGGCATTGGCACATGGATTGGCACATGGATCCCCTGCATTGGCACATGGATTCCTAACCACTGCGGCCACCAGGGAAGTCCCGCTTCCCAGATTCTTAACAGGACATTTATCAAAATCACGTGCAGCACTGGCTCTCCAGTGTTAGTGTACATCAGAATCACCTGGAAGGTTTGATAAAACAGATTGCTGGACCTTACTCCCACAGTCTATGATTTAGGAGTTCTGGAGTGGGGCCTGATAATTTGCATTTTAAAGTGTTCTAGGTAATGCTGATCCTGAGAACCATTGACTTAGGGCATTTTTGCAAAATAACAAAGGAATAAGCCAAAGTCACAGTGACTGGATGTCCTGAAATTTCAGATAAATATAGCTTAATGACCAATTGTTTATGACAAAATAATTTATGGACTTTCTAATTGAGGATATCTGTGTTTCTACTTGAGTGGGAATTAATAATTACTGAATTCCTACCTATTTGTCCGTTGAGCTAGGCAGTTTGTATATAGCTTTGTTGATGCATAAAATAACCTCATGATTATAAGGAAAGTTACCTGGCTAGGAGACAATTCTATTTGATTCCTGAGTTATCTTTCTACAATAGCACTATGTTTCTGTGAAAAAGGGTCACCAAATGCAGAAGTGATTGTATTCTCTTTCTAATGGAAATGAAATAGTGTGATAACCCCTCTTATCTTTATCCCCTATAGTTCTGTTCCTGTTATCAGTTGTTTCTCTTGGTTTTGATCACATTGCCATCTTTATGAGCTTGCTTATGATTGGTAGATATTGCATATGAAAAATCACAGAGATAATTTGAGGCCTAGGATAATATTCCCTTCCTGTAGGGATATACGTTTACTTTTGGCTAGTGACCAGGAGGAGCATTAGCAGTCTCTCACATCACCTCCATCCAGTGGCTCTCCAAACGTAGTTCCCTTTTTAGTAGTATCTGCATCACCCGGGGACCTGTTAGAAATGCATATTCTCAGGCTCATTCCAAACCTCCTCAATCAGAGTAAACTGTAAGGGTCGGACACAGCAATTTGTTTTAACAAACCATCCAGGTAATTCTGGATATACTCTAAAATTGGAGAACTGACTTAATTGAGTTGGAGGTTGAGATGAATGGAAGCTGGATTTATAGTTGTAATTCACCCTTATTCATAGGCTATATCCTCATTCAGATTTTGAGGTGTTTATGAGGCAGTCTATACTTGGTGGATGTTGAACTCTGCTTTTGTCTCCCCAGTTCTCTGAGTCTTCTGGGAGTTCAGCTTAGCTTCTCAGCCTCTCATCTTCTGCAACTCCAGAAGTTGCATCTTCTGGAGACAACAGGTGTCTCAGAGAAAAATATGAATCTGGGCTCAGATCTCTGAGTTTCTTGTCCCTGATTTTAATTCTTAATTCTTCACTGCCTTGGTAGCCCTCAGGTGCTTCAAACAGATTTTCTTTTTTTTAAGAAAATTTCTATTTTGTCCAGCTTTTCTGGTTTTCAGAGAGTAGAGGGAAGATTGAGCCACATTATCTAATCTGCCATCACCATAAATGAAGGAGTCCGAAGTACATGGCTGTAAAAGATTTAGAAGTAAAAAAAAGTCTCAAAATGATAAGCAGTGTTTTCAAAATACAGCTTTTTGGAGTTTTGTGATACAGACATGCCTAAAAACAAGAATGGTGCTGGCACAGTGAGCTCTTCTCCGGAAGACATTTTTAGTGGGAGATATGTGTTTTTAGGGAACTCTTAGGTTTCTGTGGAGATAATTGGTGGGGCTAAAAGCCAAGTTATTATCTTCTTATGATTACATTTTCTTGTAAAAGAGTAAAAAATAAAATATTAGACTGCTGTTTCAAAACTAAAAGTAGGTAAGAATGATTTTTAAAATGTTGTTTTGGGTAAATTGTCACTAAGAACTGAGGACTTTTGTCTTAAAGAGTCTGAAAACAGCTTTTAAATGTCTTGTGCAAAGAATATAATAAAACTAGGTTTCTTTGTTGAGAAGAGCTTCCCAAGGAATGAGCCATCCTGTTGTCATACTGTAATCTCTGCAAAGTGATTGTTATTGATATGTTTGTATTATTATTTTCAAGTATGAAAATATGAAGACATTATCTCGGTTTCTGTGTTTATATAGAAATTTTGATGCTAAAGCCCAAGTCCTTGTACAATGACAATTTACTGCCATATTTGGCTGTACTGTCCTACGGGTAGCATCAAGGCCTGTTAAGCAGGGGAAATGTTTATTTTTTGCTTTCGGGAAAGAGCTATCTTAAGATCCTCTACCTTATCCCTTCTGTTTTTCTCTTTTAATATTCTCAAATATCTTGGGTGATATTGAAATGAAAAGGAAATAATATGATAAACTCCCATGTTCCTACATATTTATGTTGTCCTTAAGGGAAAAAAAAAAGTATTACAGTTGAATTACTCTTAGATCTGTGCCGCTGCCATCCTTCTCCCCCATCCCCAATATCTGGTACATTTTTATCGCTTTTTTAATAAATGGGTTTTCAAACAATTGTTGATAAATTATCTTATTATGTTGTTTATTGACTTTAACATTTATGGTTTTTACAGTTAAATCGTCAATCTGAAATTGTTGCTACTAGTTCTGGTGATCCCTGGAAGACATGTACAAAGCGAAGCAGGACTGAAAGCTTAAAACCTTTGAAAGGCAACCCACTTGGACTTAACATGTTGAGCAGCACTAAGAAATTGAGGTATAGGCACTTCACCACACATTCCTACAGAAAAGATAAAGAGTTTGACACCAAAAACTAATTGGCCACTCCAACTTAACACCTTTTCTTTTCACTTTGTCAGTAGAGCTAATCCTACACACTGGGCATCTTTGCTTTGAATCTTGGGAATAGGCTTGATTGCAGTGATTTCTTGGTTTGGAATAAAAATATTGAAAGAAAAATTTCAGTAGACTAATATTTCATAAGATGAGCTTGCTTTCATGAAGTTAGGAAAATCTTGGTTATAATATTAGAGGTAGGTCATGTCTCCTTTAGGGAATACTTACCAGGATTATCTCAATGAGGGACTTTTTTTTTTTAAGATTTCTTAATTCCCCTTCTCTTCTAGATATAACTCATCTTTCCTAGTGGTTGTCATAGTGAACCACTATTACTGATACAATTGGACTGTTACATATCCCAGAAATAGGGTTGAAGTCACTATTTTATTTCTACTTTGTCAATTTATAGACAAGTGAGGTACATAAAGGCTAAATAATTTTCAAGTCAGTGGTAGAATCGAAAGTAGAATTTAGTGCTTTTTATTTTTTTATAATTAACAGTATTATTTTGGCATATGAGAAAACTTTTGTATACTCATAGTACATAGTTTGTATACTCATAGTACATAGATAGTCTTAAATAGAGAATAAGAAGAGGAAATATATCGGGATTAATTTACAGGAATTCTTACAGTATGAAACATTCATTTAGGATTCCTGATTTCTGTTCTAGTGTTCTACTCTTTATCTTCTTTCATGAACTGGATTGGAAACATTTCAGAGACAAATTCAGAAAGTGGAAAACTAATGGACAATTTAACATGGTCAATGGGTTTATGTATAAAAAATTTTCTTTAAGTGTTACAGGTTTTTGTGTGTGTATGCTTAGATTTTAAAGGGTTTATTTTGCATAAGTGCGTAATTTTTCCCTGTTTAAATTATTCTTTGTTTCTTGACTCCGCAGTGCAAATACACAAATTGCATCATTATGTTCTGGAACTGTAAGACGTTTTCCTCATGCTAATGCACAGATAGCAATAGTAAAAACAGCAGCCCAAAGGTAAGGATTCTGATTGCCTTTGTTTAGTATATATACACCATCCTCTTTAATAGGAGTTTTTCACTGCCCTTTTTTTTTTAAACCTTTTTTTTCCTTAATTTGTGGAACTTTATTATGTTTCCATTGTCTCTAAAGAGATATTCATATTTCTGAAATAATTCATGTCCTAGAATTTTTTAATTTTATATCTGCTTTTGAGTAAATCACATTCTGTAAATAGAGACATTTTAAGTAAAAGCTATTCTATTGCATTATGTTTCTGTTAAATTAAGCTGATTTTTACAACATTTGACAGAGAAATCTTCAGCTGGTAGTTTAGTTCTGATGAGTAAAACTATAGTTATTACCTTTCTTTGTAAGATTTGTAAGATTTCATAGCATCAAAGTAAATCACATTGTTAGTTTTAAATGTTTGAGAAATTTTTGTGTTTTCATAAATTTGAGTGTTCTCATTGGTCATGAAAGTACTACTTGAATCTTGAAATAATGAACGTAACAGGGTAATGCTTGGTGTTTTTAAATGCTTTTGAGGTTTTTCATAACCATTTTTGGATGGTTATGAAATTTCAGTTGAATTTCAGTTCTTCATCAGTTTCAGCTGACCAAGAAATTCTTAGGCTCCAACAATTAGAAAAATAATTTATCTCTTTATTTCTTGCATTTTGAATAGTTGCATAAAATTTTTATAACTAGTAAAATTTAAAGATTTTTTTTAATATATGCTAGATGTTCTTCATTTTTTAAAATGTTGATCTAGACTGCTACTCATTCAGAAAATGTGTCCTGACTCTTACCCTTGCTGTATTTGCTATTTATGTAGATTTGCTATAACAGAGATTTTCAACTTAAATACCTTAAATCATTCTCATACTTTAGGACAATAAGAAAACCTTTCCTTTGCTTAAATATATTATTTTTCATAGTTTTGACATAAGATATTTCAGAAAATCAACTAAAAAGATGGAGAAATTACTATACATACCACAAAATTGGCTTGCCTTACAAATCAAGCTTTGTGGCCTACATATGGCACAAACATGAGAACAAACAATAAAAGGAGAGTAATTAGCGGGAGGGAAGAAGGATAGACACACTGTTTCTCACACACTGATCACATTGATAGAATTCATCGCTAAGAAAGATCTGTCTACTTGCTATTCTGAAATGTGTTCTAAGTTGAAGTACTGATTTATAATCAAGTGATATATTCTACAACCAAAATTATTATTGGTTTAGAAGTTATCTACCAGTTTAGAATTATTTACACTATGCCTTATTCTCCCCATCCCTCCTTTCTTCATTGGTAATGTTAAAAAATTGATTCCAGTTTGGGAATTGGTTTGTGTTTTGTTTTATTCTAGGTCCTGGCACATCTTATACCTTGCCATGTGTATCATTGCTCATCTGTATAAAAGATTAGATTCTGTTAATAAGAAGTGGTATTTACTAGTAAAATACTGTTTCTTACACACACACACACACACACACACACACACCCCTAATTTAATTTGTATTTAAAGAAACAATCCATTAAGGAAAACAGATTCTACTTATGTTTGTCTCATAAAATAAACATATCTTAGTCCTACTGCAGTGTGACTGTTGTTAAAAAGATTGTGAAGTTCAAATACCAGTCATGGAGAGTTTTTCCAGTTTTCTTCCTTCAAAAATATTGAGTGATTTTATGCTACATACCAGGTATAGGTACAAAGTAGTCAAAGATGAATATGACAGTATTTGCCTTGAAGCTCAAGTGTGGTTAGGGTAAAGGACAGAAAGACAAGTAAACAAATGATTACCTGGTGAGTGCAGTGTAGAGATATACAAAGTATGTGTAGTACTGTTTACAGAGAAGGGAGCAGTGAGGAGTTCACAAAGGAAGTATTAAAGAAGCTTTTGAGTGTTTTAGCTAAAAGAGAACACTCCATGCATTAGGAACCACATCTTCAAAGGCATGAAAAAAAAGCCTTCACCTGAGACGATTGCTACCAAACTTTTGGTTTTAATTAGTGTAGTGTTGGCACAATTGTCAGGCCTCAGATGAGGATGAGCACACTGGCTTTTACAGTTTCTCCTAATTTTTCTTATTTTCTCAACTCTTAATTTGAAATTATTAAAGGAAATGCCACCAGTTGGTAATTCACACACATAATCCATTACTCCTGGGGTGAGTGGTATAACTTGTCTTTTAAGTAAGTCAGACCTGCATTTTGAATAATTTGTAAGATATGGGAACAAGTATATCACACGTTTTTAATCTAAAAGAAATGAATGAAGATTGTTAAAGTATCAGATCAGATTAGCTGCTATTTGGAGAATATTATGATTGCAATCAGTTTTCTCACTGCTATTCCAAATGTTAATTTAATTCATATTTAAAAGATAGATTGTTTATATACTAGCAGTGATGGAGGAGGATAGTATTAGTATGGAAGAAATGAAATGCAGAAAATTAAAAATCTTTATAACTATACCATCTCCACTCCTAACTTTAACCACACTTGGAAAAAGAGCACATTTACTGGTTTATGTTTTATTTACATTTTCACTGTTTTGTTTTTTATTAAGGATAGGTAGAAAGACTTAAAAGGACCATAGGGGGAAATGAATGTCTACAAAAGCATATATAATCCATAAATGGGAAAATGGGCTCCTGGAATAAGCAAGATTTAATTATTAATGAAAAGCACCACTTTGAAAGAATTTTTGAAGTCCAAAATCAGGTCATGGATACCAGAATCAATCAGTCTATCTTTTTTCTTTCCTTTTTTTAAATTTTAAGAGCAGAGATAGTCCAAAAAGAATGTAAGTCGACATTTTTACAAAGTCCTATGTTACTGATAATGGCTTCCCGTCTCATTTTTTTAAAAGCTTTTTTCTTTCTTCTTCTTCTTTTTTTTTTTTTTTAATATATATAAACTCTTCTAGGGCAGGGCTTTGGTAATAAACACATATTGAGGAGTATTGGAGAATTACCATAATGTATAAATTAGATACAGTAAGTGCATTTTTCTCAAGGATAAGAGAAATGAGGATGGTGTATATATTTTTTGGTTTTGTTTTCTTCCTAACTCCCTTGGTTTATTGGAAAGAACCAAACTTGTTTCTTCTACTTCTCCTCTGTCTTCTACCTCTTTTACTCTCAACAGGTGAGTTTAAAGAATAAAAGCAAGAGAGTAACTAAACTCTTCTCACTTCTTGAGCACAACAGTGTAGGGTTGGAAATGGCTAGATTAGGTATTAATGTCTGACTTTTCGTTTTTATTTTACTTTTCCTGGAAATATTACACCATAAGAAATAAGTATGTAAGAATAGACAGACTATATTTAAACTTTTATGTTTGTATTTTGTTTCACTTTAATGGGGCATGATAATTTTCCTTCATTTTTCTGTCATTTGTCCACCATAAATTTATTTTATACAGATTATCCCATTTTTTAAATAGCAGAAGTAAAAGTTCAAATGTGGTATTCGTGTAAGTTTATAATAATTCTTTTCCTTACTATTAAACCTTTTTTTTAAAATGTGTTTCTTTTCAATGTTGTTTATGTAAAACCAACTTACCATTATTATTTTTTCTTAATTTGCTAGGATTAAATTGATATTTTACTGTGCTTCACATGATGGGAATATAAGAGTTAATATGGGGACTCAGGGATTTTTGTGAACTATGTTTTGCTTACAGTTCTGAATATTTAGTTTCTTTTGTAATAGGAATAATTCTAGGATGTGAATCTTATTCTAAATTGAGGGTTTTACAATTTTACCCTTGAGTTCTTGATATTGATAGCTTTTTAGATTTTCCATGAATTGTGGAAAAGGGTGGACCTTTTATACATTGGACTTTTGGTTAGAGGCCATGATTTTAAGTCCCAGGACTTTTCTTGTGTCCCAAACCGTGTACTGTATTTGTATTTAAGGCTTTTGTGCAAAAGTTTCGGCCTTAAAAAAATTTTTTTTTCTTACTCAGAAGCAAATACAGTTGGACTTCTGTATCTGGGGGTTCCACATCTGTGGATTCAACCAAGCACAGATTTAAAAAAAAAAATCCAAGGGAAAAATTCCAGAAAGTTCCACAAAGCAAAACTTGAATTTTCTGGTACTCAACAACTGTTTACATAGCATTTACATTGTATTAGGTATTATAAGTAATCTAGAGATGATTTGCAGTATATGGGAGGATGTGCTTAGGTTATATGCAAATACTATACCCTTTTATATAAGGGACTTGAGCACCACTATTTTGTTATCTGCCTTGGGTCCTAGAACCAATCCTGTGCAGATAACCGAGGGATGACTTTAGTCACGCCTGATAATGGGATTGGGACCTCTAAAAATTTTATAACTTTTAGGAAGTTGTATTGTTCCTTGAAGACAATTTCTTTAACCACTCTAAAATAACGTATATCCTCAAATGTTGGATGATTAAATAAAGCTCTTTCAAGAATTTTTCAATCTTTGTACATACTTTTTTATTCTTTAAATATGTTTAGATATAAATTATTTTCTGTACTGACAAAAATTGAAAGCCAATTTACATATCTGACAAGATTCAAAACACTAGTATATAACATATATATAATGTGTTTAAAACAAATTAATCACAGAGTTTTGCCTTATTGACTGCAGTTACTAAAACTACAATGATATATCAAAAATGAGGTCTTGCCTCTTACATTTTTTTTCTTTTTCATGTTTTAAGCAGTCTGGACCAAAAGGAAAGGTAAGCTCAATATTGATGAAATTAGAGCATGGATACAGCAGTAAAATACCAGATTATTTATATGCTTTGAAAAATGTCCATTGAATTAGAGTTCATCATTAAGTTTATTAATTATTTTGATAAAAAGGAAACTAATAGCACAACATGATATTTGACTTATGTGGGTAATATTTCACCATAATTCTCAATATATATATATATTTTCCATGAATGATTATTATATATTTATACTGATATGTAACTACTTTCGTTTTAAAAATAGAATATTTCAGGATCTTAGTAGTAAAATTGTTTTCAGTTACTTAATTTAAATATTTCTTGTATTTCAGTGGTAATATTTTTGTTTTATACTTTAGTAGAGTGAGGAGAAAAATAGAAGTAGAATAACTTAAGCTTGGAGTTAAAACTCTACACATCAAAAATTTGTGATAGAATTTTATGATCACTCTTTGTTCCCTTTGTAATAACACTGGCAAACACATCATCCTTTAGCAGAAATGTTGAATAATGTAAATAACATGGAAACAAGTTTTTAAGAACACACATTTCTTAGAATAGTGAAACGATTGTAGATTTCTAAATCAAATGCCCATAAGAATAGCTCCTCTCCTCAATGTATGTATGTGGAAATTTTTGTGCATGTGCGTATCTTTTTTCTTGCTTCCATGAGTCTCAAGAACCTTTTATGAATTCTCCCCTCCCAAAACAGGTAAACAGCCCTTGTTTTAAACCAATACTTTCATATCATTGGTGATGGTCAAAAGAAGGGACATTCTATAATTTTATTTAATTATGTAACTTTGACTCTATAATTTTGTTTAAAGGTATAGAGGAGGCAAAGAGGACAACTTGCAATATTTTATAGAATGCTATATATTCCATCTTACTTCATGAACACCAGGTTTCTGAACTAAAGATGATCCTGTCAGCAAAAGATTTAGGCATATTTTATAATTCTGAAATACTTCACAGTTCTTACATGGTTTAAATTAATGGGTTGTGCAGATATTTCACTACCTTCCTCCTGGGAAAGAAAAATTATTTTTCTATTGTATCTGTTTTTCTTTCTGAGTAAATTATTATTTCTTGTCAGACATAGATGAGTCATTTTATATCTTTTGAATTTTTAATTCATAAGTGACTATATTTTGGGGAGAAGATCATTAATAAGATGTTTTTAAGTAACTATATAGTCACACATGAACCAGACTGTTGTCTTAAAATAAACAAATTCTTTCCTTTATGTTATAGTAGATAAAATATAGGTACTGTTATATTTATCAGAATAGTATAAAGATCTTAGAATATTCTCTTATAATAGCCTTGGTGGGTTTATACTGATTTTTTTCTACTGTTTTGGCTTCTTATGCATATTTCTGTTGTGGAAATTTATTCATTGATACATTCAGCAAATATTTCAATGACTCTATGTGCCAGGCACTCTTCTAGGAGCAGACAAAAATCCCTACTCTCTTGGAGCTTATATTCCTGTTGGAATAATACTGGAATAGAAGTCAGAGATGTAGAATTAAGTAACCAGCATTACCAGTAGGCACATAACTTATTCTAAAATGGGGATAATGATATTTGTCCAATTTTAAAGGAGATTTGTGAAGAACAGAGATTTGTTCTGTTATGAGATAATTATTTGAAACTGACATATACACTGTAAAGTTTGAAATTTCTGTAATAATAGGTGCTGAAATTCTTTGTCTTTTTGTACCAACATTACCGCCAGGGGCTAGGCGTGAAGCAGCATCTATTTATAAAATATGTTATGGTGAATACACTGGAGTGCTTTATTCAGCAGCTTAGTTACTGTTAGGTTCAATTTAGCCCATTAATCCTTTGGAATCTCACCTAAAATTATTTTATCTTTGTCAGAGATAAACTGAGAAGAACTTTTGTGTCAGTAGATTTTACTTTGTAAATTTTTTTTACGTAAGCCATTTTTCCTCCCTTATGAACAAAGCCACATCTTTTTTTCTGACCTTTGAAAAGTAATAGAAAATCTTTTATCTTTATCCCTTAACACATGAAGGACTGTAAATCTCTGAACTAAATGATTTCTTTAAAAGAGGATGGTTTATCTAATAAACAAAAGTTAGGTAGTTGTGGAAGGTTAATCTTTTCCAGGTTTTTTCCCTTTGTACTGTATACTGGGCACAATGAGGTATATTTTAGGTTTAAAACCAAGCTGGAATAAAAATTAAACAACGATATTAAGGTCCAGGGCTTGCAAACTTAAAAAATTTGCTGCCATTTTTCTTTGTTGTGGGTGACTTTGACAACTTGAATGACTTGAATTCTTTTCTGACTCTTGGACAGTTGGCTTGTGAATATAGTGTATGTGGTAGCACCAGCAACCTAGAATATTTAATCTGGTATTAGAACTTTTTTTTTCTCCTTAGATAAAGACAGTTGACCTGTTATGAAACTGAAGCACATAGTAATTTTCAAATTAAAAATTTTTTAAATATTTTTATTATAAATATGTGCGTATCGTAGAGAATTTTGAAACAACAAAAAGATACAAAGGGAAAAGAATACAATAAAAGACATATATGAAACACTAGAAATGTTTACTTAAAAGGGGGTATTTGAAAAGACAAGTATTACAATGAAATATTTTATAATTTTTAAAAAGCTCTTATAATCGAAAACTACATCATTAGTATCTTCATGCATCTCTTTCCGATATTCTTTTTCCTGTGTACTTTTAAATATACCTAATACATGCAGTCATAATAAAAGTACAGCTGCATATTCTGAGTTTTCACCTATACATAACAGTATGTCCTAGCCTTTTTCCCTGTTAAGTTGGCTTCTAAAAATGATTTGTAATGATTACGTAATAGCTTGTCCGGCAGATATACATAATTTATTTACCCATCAGTCCATTTCTTGTTGTTTTTCACTGTTGTATATGACAACGGTCCCCAACCTTTTTGGTACCAGGGACCAGTTTCATGGAAGGCAATTTTTCCATGGAAGCGGGGGCAGCGGATGGTTCAGGCAGTAATGCGAGCGATGGGCAGCGGCAAACGAAGCCTCGCTCCCTCACCCACTGCTCCCCTCCTGCTGTGCGGCCCGGTTCCTAACAGGCCGCGGACCAGCGGGGCTTGGGGACCCCTGGTTCATCAATGTGTCATATAATGACACATTGATGAACAACTTTGCATGTAAATCTCTAAGTGCATCTCCTAAGATAAATCTCTGGGAAAGGAGCCTTTGGGCTAGGTTACAGATGTTTTTAATGCTCTTGATAGGTATTGCGAAATTGTTTTGCAGACAGGTGGTACCGATTTATATTAGCATTATAAATTGGTGTCTCAAGGTACCTGAAAATAAAATTATATTCAGATGGTACTGCCTTCCTTAGAATTATGAGAGTCATCTGAAACCTTAGATATGATAAGAGTATAGCAAGATGATAGAGTACAAGACTAATAATGTTAATAATTTTTTATTCACTCTGATCAATTGCGGTATATATTGGAAAGACCAAAATTTCCTTCACAGTAGCAACTAAAATTAAATATTCAGTAATAAAATTAATGATGTGTAGATCCTTTATAAATATATCTAAAGAACCTGATCTGAGGCATATATTAGGTTCCTGGTTGGTTATTTGATATCAGTGCTCCTTAAAATAAACTTAATGCAATTTTAGTCAGAAATCTTGCTGACTTTGTTATTTTAGGAAATTTGGCCAATTGATTCTAAAGTTTATTTAGGAGAGTAAATATTTGAGAAGAGTAAGAGACGAGACTTACTTTGTAAAAAGAAGAATAAGTGGGGGAAGAGAAGAATGACATGTCTTACCACATAATAAAGCATACTGTGAAGAAAACAGTGATTGGATATGGAAACATTGGAAAAAAGCCTAGAAAGTAGAGCAGTAACCAGACTAGAGATTCCAAGTATATTCAATTTCCAGCTACCCTGTCTAATCAATAAATGTTTAGTTTACAGTGCCTGAATTATGGTATTTGCACATAGGCTAATATTTTGAATTACTTTATGGTGGCTCTGCATGGTGGCCAGTGGTTCAGTTTTGACATTACCACCCTTGTTCAGCATGATTGTACAATTATTTGACCTGATAAATACACTTCTAATTATGTACTGCTTCTTAGTTATACACATTTATTACTTCCAAATATTTATCAAGTGCCTGCTGTGTTCTAGGTATAAGGATACAGTGATGAACAAAACAAACAAGATCTCTGCTCTCGTGTAGTTTACATTTTGATGGGCAAAAACTGATAATGAGCAAGTAAAACACCAAAAAATAAGTTCTGTGTAAAAAAGTATAATTGGATGATGTGGTATAGAGTGACAGTATGGTTTCTTTAGATGTTCAGAGAGACACTCAACTATGAAGCTAACATTTAAGCAAGGACTGAATGAGCAGTCAGCCATACAGTGATCATAGAGATGGCTTTTCCACATAGGGAAGAGGTGGTGCTAAGATATTAATGATGGAGTGAGTTTGGCATGTTCAAAGAACAGAAAGAAGGACTGCGGGGTGGGTTTGGTTAAGGTCAGCTAGGTCCCCTAGATCATAAAAGGCTTTCTGTAAGATGATCTGAAGAGTTTGAGTTTCATGTGGTGCACTCACTAGAAGCTTTCAGGTCATTTTAGGTAGGGAAGTGTTATTATTACCTGATAAATTTTTGAGATTTAAAAAAATAATCTTTTGTATATGATTTATAATTTGGCACAATTAAAAACTTAAGTCAGTGGCATTCAGTTAAGGCTAAGCATGATTTACTTACCAAATAGAGATATGCTACAAAAGAAAATCAGTAATAATCTTTGACTATTCAAAACTATCTCAGCAAAATCTAGGAATTGGAGAGGTAGAAGGGCAGAAGTAAAAGGTATCTTAAGGCCTTTTTTTTTTTGGAAGGGGGACTGAATGGGGTAGGATGGGGAAGTAAAAGGATTTTAAAGATCTTATCCCCTTAGGGATGATGCAGTAGAATATCTTGTTTGAGGAAGTAGTTGGAATCTTGAGAACATTTTGATGAACAAAATATGCAGTTGGAATAAGGGTTGAGAGAGGGAAGGTAACTATTTGTTAAATTAACCAGGGGAGGAAAAACAAATGAAAGGTAATTGTGCAAATCAGTAAAAATAGGGGAAAAGAGTGAAAATAAACAAATATAAGAAACAGCTAATACAGTAAGATGAAAGGAAAACATGAAGTTTATCAGATGCAATAATGATTGTGATCAGGTCGAATATATTTAATAAGAGACAAACTGGTTGAATTAAACCCAGCTGTATCATGTTGTTTACCAGAATCAGATATTTATAAAATAACAATTTGTAAGTAAAGGGGTCTCTTGAGTCTTAGAGTCAAAAGAAATGCAGGGGCTTCCCTGGTGGCGCAGTGGTTGGGAGTCCGCCTGCCGATGCAGGGGACACGGGTTCGTGCCCCGGTCTGGGAGGGTCCCACATGCCGCGGAGCGGCTGAGCCTGTGAGCCATGGCCGCTGGGCCTGCGCGTCCGGAGCCTGTGCTCCGCAGCGGGAGAGGCCACAACAGTGGGAGGCCCGCGTACCGCAAAAAAAAAAAAAAAAAAAAAAAAAAAACAAACAAAAGGAAAGCATGAGTAGAATTTTAGCAACACATGAAATAGAATTAAGGATTAGAAGCACTAAATAGTATAACAGAGCACATTTTATAATGGAGACACTCGTGAGAGTGAAGTAACAAAGAGCTGTGTAAAGCTCCCCTAAAATATCTAAAATGCAAGACATTCTTGGTTAGAGTACAACTTCGGGAGATTTTAATACATCTCTTAAAAAATTAGATTACAGTTTAAACATGAATTTGGAATAATGCATTTTCATGAAAAATGAACACATTTAATTTATTTTATAGGAATTTACATCTTTTGAGATCAGTTCGAGCAATGGAACGATTTATAAAATGAGTTTCAAAACCAACTTAAAAAAAAAAAAGCAGCACTCAGATCCTGGTTTCTAATACCACTCTAATAAAAGGAACATGGAGAAACGGCTGATTCTAGGGATGGGTTAGGGAAAACACAAAATGATCATAGAGTATCTTGTAGTATCAGAATCCAAACAGGTATTCAAAAAACAAAGGGGTACTTGCTTCAGCAGCACATATACTAAAATTGGAACGATACAGAGATTTTCATGGCCCTTGTATGAGGACTACATGCAGATTGGCAAAGCATTCTGTATTTCTGTAAATTTTATGTATGTTTTATCAGAATTAAAAAAAAAAAAGAATGAGGTCACATGAAAGGAACACAGGAGCCAACTGAAAGAGCTCCCAAGGGCCAAAACTGAAACAATTGGATTGTAACCTAAAGTATAAAATAAATATCCATGAGTCATACTGGTATAAATGATTGAATAAGTGATTTATTTATTGAACTGTCCGGGGGTTTTTATAAGCTGCATAAAATGAATTGGGGGAAATAGACAGGTGTTTATACAGAAGAATTCCAAATAATATGTGTAGATAGTTTCCTCTTCAGGAAGTAGAATTTAACTATCCCTGCCCCTTTTGTGGGCTGGACTGATTGGACTTGCTTCCAAATAGAATGTCGAAAGGGAAAATAACTTTGGAGTGGAGAAACCTGGCAAACACTACTTTAGCCAGATGATCAAGGATAACCTCACTAGTGATGTAAATCATCAATACCATGTAACCCCTGATATGATGTGATGAGATGGGCACTGTCCACCAAACCTACAACTTCAGTCTAATCATGAGAAAAACGTCAGACAAACTCACATTGTGGGGCATTCTACAAAATAACTAACAGTCTCTTCCAAAGTGTCAAGGTCATGAAAAACAGTGGGAAACAAAACAGTCTGGGAAACAAAAAAGAGACTAAGGAGACATGATGACTAAATGCGGTGGATCCTAGATTGGATTCTGGAACAAAGGATATTAGTGGAATAGCTAGCGAAGTTCAAATAAAGCCTGGCATTTAGTTAATAGCAGTGTACAAATGTTGATTTCTTTTTTTGACATGTGTATGAGGGTAATGGAGGTGTTAACGTTAAGAAAAACCGGGTAAGGGATATAAGAGAATTCTGAATTGTCTTTTCAAGTCTTCAGCAAATCAAATTATTCTAAAATAAAGTTTATTTAAAAAAAAAAGGTCTGAAGCCTGTCTAACCTTTAATAAGGAGTCTGATGTTATTTAAAGAAGGAAGGAAGAAGGAAAAAAAAGGTCTCCAGTTCATTTTATGCAGCTTGTAAAAACGTTGGGTCCATGAAGTGAGGTTTTCTCTAAAACTTCTATACAGAACACAAACCCTCAGAAGCAAAAAAAATGCTCCCGCTTGGTACAAGACAGAAGATAGGGACACTTCTCTGTTTCTGCTTGGTTTGAGGTAGGAAAGAAAATCCAGCGGGAAATTAAATTCTAGCCTTAAGCATCATAGTAGTTTGGAGTTTGAAATTTTAGTGTCTGTAGAGTGATGGAACTCTCAAATTAAGAAATTAACATGAAATTTCATTTTTGATTACCTAACAAAGTTTCTTTTAAAAACTAAGTTTTAAAGAACACAAGATTATAGCTAGAAAGTTCTTTTAATTCCCTTATTAAACAAATACTACTTTTATTCTGAAATTCTTGTATACTTGTATTAAACTTAAGGTATGCTTTTATTTCTGTAATTTACTCATTATAATACATTTTTTAAAACAATCGGCTCTGTCTGTATAGGGAA